GCTATCATCATACACTTATATTTTGGGAATGTAATTTTGTAACCAAAACATTGATGTAAACAATGACAGTTTTATTATTGTATGTGTGATGATGATGTTGTCTTGACTCAATTATATACACTGTGATGGTATTACAAGATGAAGTCACCCAAACCCCCGGATGTTTCTGCCGTTTCTTCAGTTAAGGGGTGTGACACATTCTATTTTGATGTTCTTCATGCTTGAACCTTGAATAAGATCATTCTTATTGGTTGAAAAGAGTGTTAGGTTTTATTTCCAAAAAAAGCTTCATAAACTAGAAAATTAGCAAATAGAAGACTTGATTTTTTGAAAATAACATATGCTAATTTACACCCACCAAGGATCATCTTGCAAGTTATAGACGATTAAGACACCAACCAAAGAAAGGATGAAGAAATAACATCCTTTGTAGTTCTTTGGGTCCTTTTAGGAGGCTAAGAAGTTGATGAAGAATGTATGAACTTTTGAGACACCAACATGAAACCAACTTGATATAGATGCTAGTCAAAATTCTTAAGCTTTAAGTCTATATCCAAATATGCCTTAAAGAGAGTAAAATGCAAGCAAGTAATCTTCTAACACTTCTTTGCAAGAGAGAATATGAGAGAGTGTGAGGGAGCTACAGTTTTAGTGAGTAAAAAATGAATGAATGAAAGCCTTCATAAAGCTAAATCATTACCCAAGAGTTCTTAACACTTTTAGCACTTCATACCCTAAATCCTACATGTGTCCCATGCCTCTTAAGCTATGCTTACTTTCCATTATTATATTCAAAAGACCATGTCTTGTTTCGTAGAAACTATCTCATCTTTTTTTATATAAAAAGAGAAGAGAAGTTTATAAAATTCTTATAAATCTTTATAAGATATAAACTTTAACTTTTAGCTAAAAGACAAAAGCGTGTTTCTAGTCCAAAATAATGTACATGACTTAATAAATCATACCATATGATATATTATGTTACTTGCTAATGAAATTAATATTCCCATGAAACAAATAATTTCCAATTAATTATAAGAGTTTATTGAATATTTATTGAAATCAATTTCTAATAAATAATAAATTGTATCAAGTTGTTGTTAGTGTGGCTCATTAGTATCATATGTTAATTAGCAATATGACTTTAATATGACTCTTGAGCATACTAGATATTTCAATATCCCACTTACGCAAGACTCATATTAGACTGATATACACAATGGTGAACATCTAGCAACATTTCACTGCCCCAAACAATATATGAATTTGTGTCTTTCTAACACAACCAATTCCCCAGAAGCTCAAAGATATAATTGGTGTATAAGGTAAGTTTATCAGTTATCCCTTTGTCACATACATCATGTTAAACATGAGTTGCAGATAGAAATTAATCTCATCTAGTGTTCAACTTTTGGTAAGGCGCCTTAGATGTCTAACTCTCAACACATAACAGGAACAAATCCCATCTTGACCACATAAGCCTCTTGCATAGTTCGTACCATACCTAAAAATGGCTTTTATAACTGCTCAGTTAAGGATCAACATTTGACCATATTAAAGCACAACACTCCTTAAACTTATGTCTCACTGTGTATCCCAGGTGTTAAGGATACAAAGATAATACCTTTTAATCAAATATCACTCATAATAGCAATCCATGAGGTGATCTTGATTTGGGTAAGTTCAATATCAGTTCTCTGACAAGTACCTATGAATATTGGTTACAACCCATTTCCTACTTACATGTGGTGAAAGTCAACCAATCCAATTCATATCCGTCTTACTTTATAATTGCTACAACAGTTATAACCAACTATGAACTTCTAGAATAATAAAATTATTCATGACTATAAATAGGGTCTTAGGGATTTCATTCTTCCTTGCACCTTGGCTTAAAGTTTCTCCAACTCTTCTTCCTCCCCCGTTTTGGGACGATTTCTATCCCTCTTACGATTTGTGAAATTGACGCTTCTCCACTCTTTGGTGTCATTGGGTGATACCATTAGAGGGATTCTGGTTTGGGTCCTCTCATCCAAGAAACTTCGTGGAGGATGAGATCTCAAGCATGGAGATGAAGAGCTACAAATGAGGTATGTTTTTCTTCTTTGTATTTTTTGTTTTCCAGGGTAGATGTAATTAGCATGAAACCATAGATCCATAGATTGCATGTACACTTAGGTATATTGCAGTTTTGATTTTTCTGCTACCTAGTTTAGAGTGTATTTGATGCGTAGAAAACCTAACAGAGCGTGCATATGAAGACAAATTTGTTGTACGTCGTATTAAATATAAAGACGGGTGAAGGTGAGGTATTGTAAAACACCGTCTAAACTGCGATAGTAAGTAGGGTCATAAAATGGATCGCCTACTTCGGCATCAAGTTTAGAGTTAGTATCGTTGGGGGTGGCAGTAGGTTTATAGCCAGACATGTCGGCACGCTCGATGATCTCTTTGGCTTATTGAGTTTGACTTAAAAATAGGCCCTTCGAATGACGGTGAACGGATATTCCAAGAAGGTAGCTCAAAGGTCCAAGATCCTTCATTGGAAATTCCTGTTCTAGAAGCTTCATAAATGTATGTCGAAGACTATGATAGGAAGTTGTGAGAATAATATCATCAACATAGAGTATTAAGTGGGATACATCATTACCATTTCGGTAAATAAAGAAAGAGTGTTCAGAAACACTATGCTTGAAACCCAAAGTTCCAACATAATTAGCAAAACATCGGTACCATGCACGTGGGGCTTGTTTAAGACAATATAAGGATTTTTTTAAGAAGACAAACGTGATTTGGATGACGATTGTCCCGAAAACCCATTTGTTGATGCATGTAAACCATTTTTGATAGGTTTCCATGTAGACACACATTTTTTACGTTAAGTTGATGTATTGGCCATGATTTGGAGACTTTAAGACTTAAGACTATGTGTATAGTAGCGGGTTTTAGAGTTGGGCTAAATGTCTCGTGACAGTCAATACCAACCTGTTGTGAACGTCCATCGCCTACCAATCGTGCTTTGTATTGTTCAAAGGAACCATCAGATTAATTTATTTATGAAAATCCACATAGAACGAATGATATGCATATCCGATGTTTTTGGTACTAACAACCAAGTCTTATTCTCAATTAGTGCATTAAACTCGTCATTCATAGCTTATTTCTAATTCGGATCGGATAACGCATCCTTGGTATTGTTAGGAAGGGAAGAACCGGTGTTAATAGAAGAGACATTGAATATTTTTTTAGGCTTAGATATACCAGACATGCTTCTTGTATGTATGGTGCGAGTTTGAGGTGGGATAATAGGAGGCAGTGGAAGTGGAGAGAGAGGAGGTGATGGGTTGATATTGGGAGGGTTGTTTGAGCCTTGAGTAGGGCCTAGAGAAGGCTGGTTCAAAGGGGTTTAATGAACTGATGGGGTTAGAAAAGAAGACGGAAAAATGAAAGAAGGGTGAATAGGGTCGGTGAGAAAGTTGTAAAAGCATGGCGTTGAAGGGGGATGTTGTTTGAATGGGAAAATATGCTCATCGAATAAGATATGGTGGGAAATAATGATCTTTTGGTTTGGATGTCATAACATTTATACCCATGAAGATCGTTGGGGTACCCGCGAAGATACATGGAGTGGATCGAAGTTGTAATTTATTTATGGTGGAAGATGGAAATAAAGGGTAGCACAAACATCCAAAAACACGTAAATGTTTATAAGAAGGAATATGTTTGTATAAAAGATGTGTAGGGTATGGTTGTGGAGTGTTTTTTTTGGAACAATATTTAAAAGATAAGTTGCAATTTGTAGAGCGTGGTGCCAAAAGGAGGCGGGGGCGTTGGCATGGGAAAGTAGTGTTCAGATAATATTGTTAATAACATAAATTTTACGCTTGACTTTCCCGTTTTAGGATGATGTATGAGGACAAGAAAAGTGAAAAACCATGCCATTTGAGGAACAAAAGGAGTGAAATGCTTTGTTATTGTATTATGTGTTGTTGTCACATTGAAAAGCTTTAATGTTTGTAGAAAAGTGAGTTTTGACAAAGTTACTAAAAGAAAGGAATGTAGAGAAGACTTGAGACTTATGACCTAAGGGAAAAGACCATAAAAGATTAGAATAGTCGTCAAGAAAAAGTACGTAATAACGATGTCCTCCGGAACTCAACACCGGTGAGGTCCAAAGTCACTATGCATAATATCAAAAGGAGTAAACGTATTAGATATTGAATCAAAAAACAACAATTTAACCTGTTTACCAAAAGCATACGCTTGACAGAGTAAAGAAGGTTTAGTACGATTACAAGATATAAACTTATTTTTCTAAGCAAACTTAAAATAGCGGCGCCTGGATGTCCTAAATGGTGATGCCAAAGGTCTTGAGAAACTGTAGAAAAAGCTTGAGGTTGTCAAATTGTTTGAAGAGTGGAAGATGGAAGCGGATAAAGATCAATCTTGTTATTGCAACTCATGAGTCGTGTCCCCGCTTGGTAATCCTTCACAAAAATAGCATAAGGATCGAACTCAAGTGATAAATTATTGCAAGTAGATAGAAAACGAACGAAAATAAGATTTTGAATAAGATAAAGGGAATAGAGAACGTTTTTAAGGTGAATCGGTGGGTGAGAGAGTGAAAAGGAAGTGTACCCGTATACATGAATAGGAATTATGTGTCTATTACCAAAAATTATATGTTTATTTAATGCACGTAATTTTCAATAAGAAATAAGCGTACCTTGGGAACCCGTCATGTGTGATGTTGCACTGGTGTCAAAATACCAATTATCACCGGGTTGTTGTAACGAAAGAGCATGCATAGCTCGAGCGAGGTCGGTTTGCGAGTATTGCGGATTTTGAGAGTTCGTAGTTGTGTGGTCATGTTGTGGTCGAGGACCCAAAATACCAGCTTGTTGGTTGTTTTGTGTGAGGGTGGGCCTAGTCCATGAAGAAGTGGGGTAAGGACAAGGTGGCGTAGCCCATGGAAGTATGGTCCATGCCCATAGGGAATATTATGCCCAAGAAGGAGGACGTTGATATTGTGTGTGGTTTTGTGGTTGCGATCTGGAATAACCAGATCGGTCTCCACTACCTCGACCTCTGCCTATGTAGCTTCCACGACCACCCCATTCCCTATAATTAGTGTGGCCGGACCTGTTATCAGCAGAAGACGGTTGCGTTGGTTGGTGATTAACGGCGGTAGTAGTCGATCCCGACGATTGGGTTCCGGCGGTAGTGGATAAAAGAGCAGTAGTAGGGTTCTGATAAGCTTTGGGAGTCTCTTCAAGGATTAGCTTCAATCGAGCTTCCTAGAAGAGTGGTAGGGGTCAGATTGTTGGATAAGGGTTGCTATATTATCATAATTAGAGTTGAGAGTCGAGATACGTTGTAAGACTAACCGGTGTGCTAAAACAGGGGTTTTTAACTCTTGACAGTATGCAAAGACGTTAGGGAAGTTGTCAAGTTTGAGATTGCCGAATTGAGGTTCCAAGTAAAGAGCCTTGGAGTTTTTGTTGTCTTGGAATATATTTGTGAGGGTTTCCCATGCTTGTTGAGCCTTAACATCAGGTTGCAAAATGGTATTGAGCATGTCGGTTGAAATTGTGCTGTAAATCCATTGGAGCACAATAGCATCGAGGCGTTCCCAAAGGTCTTTAGCAGTGGCAACGGCGGCAATGACGGCTGCATCAGTAGATGGAGTAGGTGATGCGGCTAGTGGTTCTTTTGAAGGGATGATGAGTCAAGAACTTGATAAGCTCTGCAGTGAATCTTGGAAAGAGTATCCCAGGAAGTTTATTGCCCTTTGACTAATAAGGGTAGAGAAGAAAGAAGGAAGAAAGCAAGAACATAACTGACTAAGTAGGGTAGAGAAGAGCGTCAAGCAAGGGAAGAAAAGGCCAATTATGGCTCTGATACCATGAAAAAATGGTAAATTTCTCTGTGTCCTCTCCTTACCCGTCAACTATAAATACATAATACAAGATTATAATATATGGAAATTGTAAACTGACTAGGAGACTATCTAATCTATATTATATGTTTATCTAAATCTATGATTCTATGTTTATCTTATTAATCTAAGAATTATAATTAGTGAACTACCTTAATGCTTTGGCAAAGAAAACATATGTATCAATCAAGATTTTTAAAGCTTATCTTTTATATTTTAATAGCCCAAATAATTAATCTATCCAAGGTAGAGGTGCACAAATATAAGTTTTAACAGAAGTAGGTTTTTTCTAAAAAACCGGTATGATTTTTAACCAATTTTTTCGAGATCGCTTTTGTTTTAAATGATATTAGTAATGATATAAATGTGAAAATATATCAATATATAAGACCTTGTCGGGTATAATTGTATGAAATTAACTTTTTTCGTTTATACGACACGACCCGGACCGACAACTAATATTTATTTTATTTTATTGAGATTTTCTAATATATGCCCTAAGGGCACATATAAGAAGCATTGATTGAAGTATTAATTATAATGAATATTATCATAATAATTAAATGGTACTATTTCTTATAATTAATATTTCAATTAATGCTTATCATATGAGCCTTTAGCACATATTAAAAAATCTCTATTTTATTTTATTTTCTATCCATATCATTTAAATAGGGAATCATATGGTGAAAATAACACATGTAAACCCCACAACACTACTTAGCATAATCGGATACTCTACAGTTTTTGTAGTAAAAAAGTTTTCTTCGTTGAAGATAAACAGATGTAACAGTAACAATTAGTGTTAAAAATTAAAATCATAGCAGAAACTAGTTCATTTATCGTTGAATAGTGTAAAACTAAGGTGAAAAAGAGCCAAGTAACACAACAACTTTGTGAAACAATAATAAAGATTGCCTTTATTAATTAAGTACCGAAATAAAATAAGGATAAAATAAACATTTACAGATGTAGTAGGAGCGCTTCAGAGAATACAACACGATGAAGAAGTAGATTCTTCTTCGACAACAGTAGAACCTTCAGCTGCTGACTTAACACCGGGCCACCCTTTGCACATACAGAGATCGCCATGGGGAATTCCCTTGTAAACGGCGGAGACATGAAACCCACAACCACCCCATGTGGTTTTGCCGCACTTGGAACACTTGACCTCATAACACATCCTGTTAACTCGCCTCTTCAATCAGAACAAACCTTCCTTCTCTTTGTCGATGCTTGTGAGGGTTCATTGATGAATGGAAGTCCTCTGTCCTTTTTTGGCCAGCTAGCGTGTGTGTATAAATATAAAACCATTGGCCTTATCAATTTCTTGTTGTGTTGCTTTCGTTGGTGTCCTACTGGCAGATTAAAGTTGTTTTTTTGTCGGCTAATTAGTCTGCAATTTAACGAGAGACTTAATGGTTGATAAGAAATCAAAAGTCTAAATAAATTACCGCTTCAAGTGGATTTTCGTGAAGTGGTATTAAAAGTACCATTGGTTTGAGCATTATTAATTAGTTGTATAAAAAGTAGTACGTTTTTAGTACGCAAGTTGCCTTGAAGTCGAAGTCTACCATGTTTAAATAACTCGTACATGAATGAGTCTTGGATATGAAATTTATTTGTTACTAAATTAATTGATTGAACTTTGAATAATCCATGTTCTTTAGGTAGATTATGTTTCATTCCCGACCACTTGGACACTGTTTGCCAGATATAATAAGGATTTATAGTTTATATTAGGGGTGACCATTATACAGATCAAACCCTAAAATTGTCCGAACCGAACCTTAATTGGGTTTTCAGTTTCAGGTTATTCGAGGAGGATCTCCCTTAAAGGGTTTTGGCGGTTCAATTTTCAGTTTGCTTAAAAAAATTCAGGTTGAGCACGAAAAACAATTATATATATATA